CCCCGCCCTGCCCCGCCCTTCCCCGCCTCGCCCCGCCTCGTCCCGCCCTGGCTACGTTTAGCGTGGCGCCGTGCGGTGCGGTGGGGTGAATTCGGATGTTCCCCAAGTAGTGGCATTCCCCCACGCCTCGGCCGCACTGCGGCGACCGATCGGGGAGGTGGTAGAGCCACGCCTGGCCGGCCCCTCCTGGCCCGCCCTGGCAGAGCCCGCCTTTGGCTACCCGCCTCTGGCCTTTGGCGCCTTTGGCGCCTTTGGCGCCTTTGGCGCCTTTGGCGCCTCTGCCCTGCACTGGCTGGCGATGGAAGCGCGCCAGGCGCAGGCGTGGCGGCGGCGTGGAAAATAAAAAGAGACAAGCCGCTGAAACGGTAGGGAGGTGGGTCGAAGCACGGAGCCTAACGCCCTTAACGGGGCTGTGGAGCACCCTTCCCCCGGCCCGGCCGGCCGCCCGGCACCCTGTCTGAGGTCAGGAGTTCACGGCGATGAGTCGCGACGTGCCGCGGCGACCTGTGAACCCATCAGGGCGCACCGCCCGGCTTCGGCCAGGTCGTTAACGACGGGCTGAATCCTCGACGGGAGCACTTTACAAAGCAAATCACAAGAATTTCATTTAAAATTTTAAAATCTATGGAAATTTGTTCCGTTCCATTTAAACGTGTCCTTTTGTGCACAGAAAGCACTCGGTGCATATAAGGTAAAAACAAATAAAACAAATATTCGACTTGTTTCCGTCTGGCCGCCAAACTATACCAAACTTGTCACGCCTCGTCCACAACCCATCCTCGGGCCATCCATCAAGCCGCTCGGCGGCGGCGGGCCTGGCGAGCAGACGGGCGGACGGGTCAGTGCGGCCGCGGGAAGACCAGCCCCGATAGCACACAGAGCGCCCCGCGCGGCCGGAAACGGCGCGCCATGTCCGACCGGAAGCTCGCGGCCCCATGTGCGCGCCGCACCGACACGTCTATCGATCTCCCAACCCGCTGCCGCCGCCGCCGCTGTCGCTGCCTCGATCAACCTAACTCGGCTTAACCGTCGGCGCGTTGCCGCTGCCGCCACTGCCGCCGCCACTGCCGCTAGCGTGCGGCTAGCACTGCGTGGCGTGGCCTGGTGGGGCTGGGCGGGGTGGGGCGCGACGGGCGGGGCGGTTTGTCGGGTAGGGCACCCCCTGTCAATGGCCCCAAACGGGCCGAACGGAGAATCGCTTCCGCTGATCGCTTTAGTCGACTTCCCACCCTCTCTCCTGCTGCCGCCTCCTCCCCCCCCTTCTTCTATCTCCCGTACCTTGTCTCGAGTGCTCAGTGCAGATGATGTGCTTCGACAGGGATCAGGGAAGGTGACGTATTGAAAGAGAGGGGTTGGGGTAGGGGACACCGTGTGTTGGACGTGAGCCGGGTTGGGGGGGGGGGGTAAGGGAGGAGGAGGACGATCCCCGGGTCGTTTGTGGGAACGACGGCGCGAGGTGGACGAGCTCGGGATATTCGTTGGTGATATTGCAGTAGGGGGCCATCCGGGTGGATGTGAGAGGAGGGGGGGCGTGTGAGACGGGTGACTGAGGGGGGTATTTTGTGCGGCCAATTGATCGCCACACGGCGGGTAGGGGCCCGCGGCCGACGGCTCGTCAGGGAAGGGCTGCGCGGGCGAGACGGGCGGGACGGGCGGGACCCTTGCGGCCTCGAGGATGATGCGCTTGTGAATGGCAGCACATGGCGAGAGAAACAGGTGAGGGGGGGAGCGGGCGGGGCGTGAAGGCCAGGATGAAGACCCCCGCTGATAAATGAAGATACTCAGAGCCCCCGGAGCCCCTGAAAGGTGAGCAGGTGGCCAAGGTGCCGCTCGGGTTTTAGAGCTGGCGAGAAAAGACGCACAGCCGTCGCCGGGCGTGTGCGGAGAGGAGGCGATTCCTGACGCGCGGAAAGGAGAGTGTAGGGGGCGGCGAGTAGAAAAATGAAGGGAAAGGCGGCACGGGGATGTTCGTGTCAGGCGTGCCACAACCCCCGCCCCCGGGGGCACCCGGCATCCCCTAGCGTGACAGGCGGATAATGGCAGGTGTAGTTGAGCTGTCACCAGCTGCGCCAGCTGCGCAGCTGTCACCGCAGACATGCCCGCTCCCCGCCCGCAGCTGTATCCGTCATGGCGCGAGCGCCCGCGGGCGTGGGGAGGCCTGCACCAACAGAAAGGCGGCTGTAGGTGCAAGGGCGCGCACCCTGCACCCCCTGCACATGAGCGTCAGGCGGGTGGAGGCGTGCTAGCCCTTTCGATATTGTGGCTTTGCCCCATAGTGCAAGGCTGGCGGCAGGTTGCATCTAGTGTCCGTTGAAAGTGCCATGGATGCAACAACACCTGGGCGAGGCCCGCGCGCGCCCGCCGGGACGTGCGCGACGTGTCCTCCGGGACAGGGCCCGGGGACCTTACCTCCCTGTGCAAGCCACGCCGAGCAGCAGGGACCGACCTTGACCCGGGAGTGGAGGGGAAAGGTCACGACAAAAAGCCTGCCCCTCCCTGCATCCCCCGCCTTCCACCACTCCCTCTCTCCGCTATCTCTCCGCCCCGGGGGCGCCGGGAGCTCTCAGCCGTTCGAGTACAGCTCCGCTCCAGGCCGTTCGGGAGTCCCGCTCGGTCCCGCTCGGTCCCGCTCGGTCCCGCTCCACTGTGCCGAAGTGCTTCCGGACGTGGGCAATCGAGTGGCATGACCGCCGCGGCCTGCATCCATTCAAGCTGCACTTTCATCCATTTCTTTCCCCTCCTCGCTCACCCACACACAGGAGCGGCGGCGGCTGAAGGAGCGGTATCCTAGCCTGGCGCTGCAGTCCTCCGACGAGGAGCTATGTCGCCAGCTCCTGCTGTCCTACCAGGGCCTGCTGATGTCCAAGGACCTGTGCGAGGGGCGATGCCCCATGGGACAGCCCTGTCCCACCGGGCTGTGCAGGTCGCCCAGCAAGCGGTGAGTAT